GAACTAATTTTCTTCTCCAGACTGTTGAGTTGTCCAAATGAACAAAGGAAAGGTCACTGAGCTCAAGTGAAGATTCCCGCTGAGTTACATCTAGCTGGGGCTGCAGTCTTATAGCTAGGGTTGCCAGGTCTGCTTCCAAAAAATAGCGGACAAGCTGGGGGGGGGGGTTAAGTAGTAAAAAAAGTAGACTGTACAGCTTTAGATTACGTACCATTTCATCATAAAGCTTTTGAATAAAAAAAAATGTCCACTATTTTGTGAAAAAAAATAGTGAACATAATGTGAAAAAAGTGGACTGTCCACTCAAATAGTGGACACCTGGCAACCCTACTTATAGCTACAAATCTGTGTCCATCTTATTGAACTCCAGCTGGGTTTACATAACATTAGAAGGCATCCTATGCTTTATTCAGTGCAATATATGAACCCAGCTGTAATTAGAAGGCATCCTATGCTTTGTTCAGTGCAATATATGAACCCGGCTTATAACTTAATAGCTAAAGTAAAAAAAAAAATCAATTTTTTATTTCTGAACGAGTGATATTTTGAAAGATTGGCATACTTTGCTTAGTGATTGGCATTTACTACCTTAACTACTGCAGTAGCTCACTTAACAACTATGGCAAGAAAGGTCGTAAAATAGGGCAAAGCTCACTTAACAAATGTCTTGCTTAGCGTAAGAAATTTTGGGTTCAATTGTGGTCATAAGTCAAGGACTCCCTGTATTGGCCTTTAAGCTGTGAGCTTGTGCACAGAACCTAGCACTAGGTATTATGGAAATTGGCTACCCTTGGGGTAGCGCTGTTGTCATTATTAAGAAGCTCCTGGCAACTTATAAAAAATTTGGATATCTTATCTTGCTTAGTATGTATGTTTTTATGTTATGTTTTAAATCTGTTTGCTTGTGTTAATAAGCTTATGATTTGTTTATTCACTGAAGTGCTCATTGTCTCTGGATCCCAAAAAAATAAATGGCCTGGGCACCTGATCACTGCCCCGATATTTGGCACAAAACAAGAGCAGAACACAAATCCTCTCATTCCTACTACAGTCTGATGCATTTGTATTCATATTAGCCTTCTAAAATCTTCTAATAAAATCTTCATAAGATACAATCAAGCTATTATTTATTGTCATTACCTGGAAACGATATCATCGGAATGTTCAAGAAGCTGTAGATATCATTAAAATGTAATTTATCTGTTTATCTACATGTTTTATGTGTAAAAATAATCCATCACTTAAAATCAAGGTGCTATTCAGATTAATAAATTTCATTGTCTGGGTTGCTCCAATGATCAGTGCATGCCATATGTTTTTCACCATTTTGTTCATTTTCTATACTTGCAATAAATAATAAATGCAATGCCACAAAAGTTATGAGTAAAAACATAATTTTAAAGAATGGAGATAGTTGGTAGTATTTTTGACATGTAAAATGGATTGGAATGTAAATATGATTTTGTTTTTCACTGTGGCATCTTTAAATATGCTTATTTTGCCATATCTGATCATCATTACTTTCCCTTGTAAATCCATACAAAATATTTTATTTTAGAATAATCACTTGCCTAATTCTTTACTTGGACATGTACGTATTCTTCAGAGGTGCTTTCTATTTTTAACTACTACTACTACTACTACTACTACTACTACTACTACTACTACTACTACTACTACTTATATTCTTTTTCTACTCAGGTTTGTTTAGTCAGATGTAGTGGTGGTGATTAGCTATATATGAATGGGACTTTAAGGAACTGTATCACCCATTATTTAACCTGGAATTACCAATGAAGGAGAATATTTGTAGCTCAGGGGTCCTTGGTGCTCTCTGAGCTTTCTTGCAGAGGTTGTTACCCTAACAACTGTAGGTAACATCATCGGTGCTAGTCTGATGATGTTACCTAGTTAGGGTAATGAAACTTTGCAAGAAAACAAGCAAGCTCAGAGAGCATCAAGGGCCCCTCAACCTGGAATTAGCACACAAGCACGGGTGGATTATGACCTTGGCACTGTTTCTGATTGTGAGGATAGTGTGCAAAATAAAGAGGCTGACGTTGGCTTTCTTCTTTCCTTCCAAAACAGGGATTTCATTTGAGGTGTTACAACATTTTTTTAGGAAACAAGTACTTAGGGAAAAGAGATATAAGAGGGGCTATTCTAACTGTAAATCCTGCTCACCTGTTTAAAAGCATTAGAAAGCATTGGGAAATGCTTTAATACAGGTAGTCTTTGACTTACAACCATTCACTCAGTGACCGTTCAAAGTTACAACAGCACTGAAAAAGGTGATGATGATTGTTCTTGACACTCACAACCGTTGCAGCTTTCCCATGGTTACGTGATCAAAATTGGGGTGCTTGGAAACTGGCAAGGATTTATGATGGTTCCAGTTTCCCGGGGTCATGTGATGGAGGAAGATGGGTGGTTAAGAAATATGAAATATAACCATAAATAAACAAACAAATAAATAAAATAAGCAAGCAAACAAGCAACCATCTGCGACCTTCTGGCAAGCAAAGTCAATGGGGAAGCCAGATTTGTTTAACAGTTATGCTAGTAACTTAACAACTGAAGTGATTCACTTAACAACTGTGGAAAGAAATGGGGCAAAACTCACTGAACATCTGTCTTGCTTAGCAATGGAAATTTTGGGCTCAGCTGTAGTCAGAAATTCAGGACTACCTGTAAATGTATAAAATAAATGAATGGGGTCCTCATTTTCAATTACTGTCAATTCTTCATTTGTACAGTTTGCTTCTTACCTAGAATTCAAAAGTTTAGATTGTCTCCAAATGGCACTAGAAAAACCACTAGAACTGAATTAGTTTTTTTTTAAAAAAAAAATCTATGTAGGACTGTAAATATCTGAGGACACCCCTTGCATGAAGGCGGAGAGTCCCTTTGGATCCATTCCTCAAAGGTGTAAATCAGCTGTTGCCACTCAAGAGGTTCAACTCTACTTCTTTGAAGCGTTTTCCCTCCTCCTCTCAAGTCTCCTGGGCCTGTCGTTTTTTGCCATTTGTCCTGACAGAAGGGATTTCTAGACATGGACCTGCACTCCAGCCATGTGTTGAAGCACCTCCTCCTGATAGCTTCAAGAAATGTATTTAATTTATAATAATAATAATAATTACATACATTATTATTATAATAATTATATAAATTATCATTATTATGTTATACTTATTGTATAAATTATATAAATTATTATATGAAATTATTTAGTAAACAAATGTACATAGCTGCCCAACTCATACATAGGTGACTCCAAGCGGCCTACAAAGTTTTAAAAATCCACTGTGTAATAAAAAAACATTAAAAAGAAACTCCACTCCCTTCGTCCCCCCATGGCAGCAACAACACAATCAAATCAGTCACTTGATTGACTCCATTTCCTTTTGAGGTCCCTAGACCCATTGACAAAACCCACATTTTTAGGGCCTTTTGGAAAAAGCAGTAGGGTCGGGGCCAACTGTACCTCAGGGAAATGATGTTCCATAAATAAGGAGGGTCTTTTTTGTGGTCCCACCAGCTGACAATGCTCTTTATCTAGCTTGAAAAGAATTACACGCATGTGAGCACATCCAGACATACACAGAGCTTATGTATCTGATCTTTAATTGGACAATATGCTTCTCAGTCTAAGCATTGCACAAGCATGCCTTGCCTATATTAACCCCTAAATGATTAATAATAAAATTAATGTTCTGCTTTTTCTCCAGGAATTTCTGTTGCTTTTATGGGGACTTTCTCTCACTTTTAACACCCCCATAGAAATCCTATGGTGTAGATTAGGTTGAGAAAGTAGCTGGCCTGAAGTCACCCAGGGAGTTTCTATGGCTGATGAACTAAAACAGGGGTCTTCAAACTTGGCCCTTTTATGACTTGTGGACTTCAACTCCCAGAATTCCTCAGCCAGTGTGCCTGGCTGAGGAATTCTGGGAGTTGAAGTCCACAAGTCATAAAAGGGCCAAGTTTGAAGACCCCTGAACTAAAAGCTGGGCCTGGCTGTTCCTAGTTCTAACAATTTCATCTCTACACTATATTAGCTCTCTGGAAAAAAATCACTGGTTTTGAAAGACTTAATTTGTTGTTGTATTGCTTATATCACATTTCATTATAAAACTGGGACCTTATCCTTTACAAAAAAATAAAATAAAAATAAACAAATCCATAATGCATTTGCAATTAGTCTATTCTGGTGTTGCCTTTTTATAGTTAAAAATAAAATAAAATAACATTTGATTGTTTTAAAATGAGTATTTTTAAATCTGCGGTTTTGGGGCAACCAAAGTTTAAGAGAACTATTTGGTTCAACATTGACCAATTAAATAGATGAAAAACAACCACTTCCCCATCTCCGAATATTTTGTGAGCACATACCTCTCTCAACTCAGCAGTTCTCTTGGAAACAAACAAACAGAAAATGAAGAAAATTAATGTAATTTAGCGTATCCCAAATAAACTTTATTGGATGTTTTTGGGCCATTCGCTAACTTTTAATTCAACCTCTTCCACAAATTTGGTTTGAGGGAAACAAAATGAAGAAAGTAATGCTATGGATGTTGCCTTGAACTTTCAGAGGAAAAGTATGATATAAAAACTACCACATCAACGTATCATTTTAAAATAAAAGCTAAACATTCCTACAACACTTTGCAAAGCTTAGACTTTCAGACTTAATGCAATCAGCAATCCTCAGAATCACTTCCAAAAAGCAGACAGGCATTATGTTTTCCTACGCATATAATAGCCCTGGCTCGGGATGAACCGTTCCGCAAAAGAACATACTTGGGAATGAGATAATAGCCTGAATAACTCCGAAACTGCAAAAGCTAATGCGGCATCCAGCTCATCAAATGCAAACAATTCCCTTGGGATTTGTCTGAATGCTCTTTATGGGTACAATTAACATATGAATAACCACTTGCAACAATATGAAATCTGACTTAACAGTTGACATTTCTTTGTGCTGTTGGAAAACAGGTACTTACATACTCTTCGTAAGACTCATGGGCTGGCAGAGGGGGTGCCCTGTAACCTGGTACTGCTGGAACTCCTCTGGCTCGAGGGGTGGGGACCCCTCTGGTGGCGGGTGGGACCGGGAGTACCCCGCGGGTCACTGGCGTTCCTCTTGCTACTTGAGCTCCTCGTCCGGGTGGTGGTGGAGGAATGGCACTCCCACGCCCCCTAAGAGTGAACAGAGAAATCGGATTACTGTGATAAGGAATGCTAAAAAGATATGAAATATTTATAAAGATACATAAAAGTATTTCTGCGCTGACTGCATCGACTTTAAACTGTGATTAGAGGAAAGAGCCAGTAATTTAGAGAATGCACATTACCATTTGGGGCAATTAAATTTCATTTTTGATGTGTGCTGTTGTGCCCACAGTAAAAAAATGACAATAAAGGCTTATCTTATCTTATCTTATCTTATCTTATCTTATCTTATCTTACCCTTGGGAGTGTGTAACCTTGTGATCCTAGAATACACCATACTGAGGCAGGGAAAACTGAAAATGATCAGATTAGAGTTGCAGAGTTGAAAAGAGCTTGAAGGATTCCAAGGATGGAAATCCTGAAGAAAAATAGTTCAGGACAGTTAAGATATTCTGGAAAGTCACTGAGGTGGAAAAAAGATGTGGCTGCTTTAAACAGTGGGTTCATTAAAATTAATGTGATTGTTTAAACCATCATACCTTTCTTTTGGCTTAGGCAGTAGCCTGGAAAAAGAAGGTCTGCTTGAATAAAGAGCAGAAAGGTGCTGTGTTCACACTCACCTGAGATTCAAAGCACTATTCCAAATCACTTCAGCATTTGCAAAGACTTACTATTATTATCTAAAACATCCTAAGAATGTTTTGGGACTATTTCATTTCACACAAATGTGCTTGAACTTGGCATTGAGCTTCTGAGGCTGCTCTAGTTCCTCTATCTCCAAATATCAGCTTGGTGAAGACATTCTAGCAAGCTTTCTGCCCAGTAGCTCATGGATCGTGGACAACTCCTAAAAGGTTGGTCTATAGCTAGAATATTAGAAAGATACATGATCGGTTTCATCCTACAATTTCATTGTTCTTCTCCTGCTATGGCTATGTATATTTTAAATGACCTGGTTATTGCCCCTGTTTGTTGGTTTGAATTATTTAACTGATATATTGCATTTTTATCCTAGATGGTTTTTTGTACTTTTATGTTTTTAATTGGAAGTTACAGTAGGGGTCTTGGGATCAAAAGGTGGAGTGAAATTCTCCCACACGAACTAAATATTTTTTTAATTAGGGAAGAATGCATTGCAGAAACATCAAGTCAGAATTAATAGCTCATGACAAGAATGTAGCAGAGGGAAAAAAAACCAACAACAGACAGAAAACCTAAAATCGTGATAAGCTGTTGTATTCCTTTGTTTTGTACACTTCAATGGTAGAAGCTGAGGTCACTCTCGTTAATTAGTCATGAACCTGGGCCAGGCACTTTCACTGAACTGGAATACCTCATATCACAGAAAGTAAAATATTGGGAGGATAGAGAAGAACCAGGTAAGCGGTCCTGACCTTCTAGGTGGAAACCTAGGGCATAATGTAATAACTTATAAATTCCCTTTGTAAGCGAAAAACATTTTCAATAGTTTTGTCAGTGTGTTAACAATTGAAATGCCACCTCTACCATGTAGAACACTTGTCATTTCTAGGTATGTGATGTCCTTTAGATGGTTCATATACAGCTTTCCATCAGTGGTTGATAAAGGACCATCTAATATTACTTTGATTCTGCCAAGTATTAGTCAGACAATTGTTCAATGTCATCTCCATTTTGTGATTTTACAGAAAAAAGTGCATAGAAAACTAAAGGTACTACAGGTGGTGTTCCTTTCTTGGAGATGTATCCACCTAGATTTTGAAGTTGTGAAGACAGGCCCTGAGATGTGGGATAGCTGTTGTTATCCAGAAAGTCCCATTAGCTTTCCGAAGCGTTGCACCACAAATATTCAATTATGAGATCCTGTGGTTGAAGTTGGGTTATACAGAGAAGTGGTTTGACTGCTGCGGTATAACTTCCATGCTATGCAGCAATATCTCTGACCGACTCCATTGCCAACTTAGAGTTGGAGCTTCTAACACTTCTAAGAGACTTTAATTTGCCCTTTTAAGCGTAAAGTCTGGAGTGGCCCATGAGTTCATAGCTACCAGAGCAACCATGGACATAGCCCAAATTATAGAGAGCTGAACACCTATGGGTAGTCACATGACACATCTGATTTTTGTATCAGGGCAATTGCAATGTGATCTGAAGGTAGAGGATATTGCAATTAGATTTATCTGGAATGCCAACTGACCTGTTTCCTAGACTAAGAGTTCTTTCTCAGAGACATGCCTCAGTCACCTTGTACAAGGATTATAGCAATGCATTGTGCACAGATCACTTTGAAACTACAATTGATCCAGAATGTGTCAGTGTTCCTTTTGGAATAGTTGGAATAAATCAACCCTGCTGTCCCTTAAATAGTTCTTGAAGATTTTGGTTTTTTCCCCCAGGTTCTGCCTTATGTGTGTTCACCTGAATTGGATTATTTCTAGTACAGATAATCCTCAATTTAAAACCGTTGATTTTGTGACCAATCAAAGTTACCACAGCACTGAAAAAAGTGACTTATGACTGTTTTTCACACTTGCAACATCCCCATGGTAACATGATCAAAATTCGGGTATTTGGCAACTGGTTCGTATTTATGATGGTTGTCGTGTCCCGGGGTCACGTGATCCCCTTTTGTGACCTTCTGACAAACAAAGTCAATGGGGAAGCCAGATTTACTTAACAATTGTGTTACTAACTTAACAACTGCAGTGATTCACTTAGCACCTGAGGCAAGAAAAGTCATTAAATGGGGCAAAATTCACTTAACAACTGTCTCACTTAGCCACAAAATTGTTGGGTTCAGTTGTGGTTGTAAGTCGAGGACTACAACCTCAACAACAACTTACGTATGTTGTGATAACGTCTACTCCTTGGCTATGGCCACCTTATTTTCATATTGATATAGTATATTGGCTTTCATTTTTAAAGTGTGTATCACCAAGAATCATTATGAGTTTGGTGGCCTTATAAATTTAAATTATATGTTATATAAATAAGACATAAATTGTGTGCTGCCAAGACTTATTTGAAATAAACACTTTTTCATTTCAAGATATTCATCAGAAACCATTTTATTTGATGCATATTTGATGAATATTCCTTCTATACTGTATTAATTAATAATGCTGTGTATTAGAACTCTGTTGACTTTGCAAATAATTCAGAATAAATTTTTGAACAGGCAAGGGGACCCCATCTTTACGAACTACTAAGTACCCCATTTTTAAAGGCTTTCACATGAGCTTGAAAAAGATGCAATGGCTCTAAGAATTGCATTGACTGGTTTTCTTAAAATAGCATCTTTAAAAAAAAAAAAAAAGATGTAAAGGCAGCCTGAAAAAAGTCAGACTGCTCTAATGAAGAGCAGAAAGCTGCTGCATTAATATGAGGTCTGAACCTTTTCTTGTGAATTAGCATGCCCAGCCTTTCCCTATATTATTCAAAAATCTCAAATCAGAAAGGTGTTATAATAATCAGGATTTGACACATGAAGCTAAAGCATGCACCACTTTTAATAACATGCAGTTCCTGGAAAGAATTTATTCTGCAAGAATTCAGTTGAAACCACAGTAGGTTTTGAGATGAGATTCCAGGGATCTGGACTGTTAACAAGGATTTGCAAAGAATATGATTTCAGAGAGAGAACTGCTGATTAAAAATGGGAACTGGTTCCTCTAGAACACGGGTGTCAAACTCATCACGTCACGTGACGTGACACAATGTATCGCGACTCTTTTTGCATTGCCACAATGGGGTGGGTACGGCTTCGGTATGATGAAACTGGCCCGCGGGCCGGCGGTTTGACACCCCTGATCTAGAACATTTGGAGAAGGAAAGTAGGAAATGAAATGCAGCTACTCTACAAGTAGTAAGATGAAATAAGCCACCTATAAAATAGATTCCTAATTTTATTAAAACTATTAAATTATATGTAATTGGAGTCATAAAGAGCAGAATTGAGATTTATGAAGACATAATAATGTTCCTATACAATGAAATTATGATCACACTCTGACCTTGGCTGTGAACATTTTGAGCCGGGGAGGCCTCCCCGGCTCAGAACGGACTTCCAGAAGTGGTATCCACGCACTTCGGATGATCTGTTCTAGGCCTTGCAAAAAAGGCTCAGGAATTCTGGGAGTTGAAGTCCATGAGTCATAAAAGAGCCAATGTTGCCTATCCCTGGGCTAGGGCATCAGCCGGTTCACCAGAGTCAACTATAAATTAGCTACCAGTTCTACCAAACTGGTGTGAACCGGCTGAATCCCACCACTGGTGTTGCCACAAAGAAGAGGGAGTCAAGCTATTCTCCAAAGCACCTGAAGGCAGGACTAGAGGCAACAGGTGGAAACTAATCAAGGAGAGGAGCAACCTAGAACTAAGGAGAAGCTTCCTGACAGTGAGAACAATTAATCAGTGGAACAACCTGCCTCCAGAAGCAGTGAATGCGCCAACACTGGAAGTTTTTAAGAAGAGACTGGACAGCCATTTGTCTGAAATGGTATAGGGTTTCCTGCCTGATCAGAGGGTTGGACTAGAAGACCTCCAAGGTCCCTTCCAATTCTATTGTTGTTGTTGTTGTTGTTGTTGTTGTTATTATTATATCTACATATGCTGATGGAAAAGGGAAATTACTACATTGAAAGAAAAATTAAGAATATTTTTAATCAGCATCTTGAACTGTTAATGAAAAAAGAGAAATAAATCCATATGGGATATTGGATAAAATCAAAGGCTTAGTTTAGACTTCAGTTCTGTGAACCCTATGATGTTTATATTTGGACGCTTTTGCATCTACCAAATTAAAATCCACCTACCATCAATTAAATTATTTTGTGTATATAGAGAGACTGCCAAACACAAATTAAGTATAAACTTAATCTTGTACTAGATTTTAAAATAGTTAATTGTACTGTTTTTCTTTTGAATAAGTCATCATGCATAAGTTATCGCAAAACCTGTTTTACACAGAAGCAGAAGGTATGCCGCAAATATGAGCATTTAACAAAATGGTTCTTGCAGATTTTCAGAGAAATAAGACCCTACTATAAAGACAGGCATCTTCTAGAAATGTCAAAAGGTGACTTCTATCACCTCCAGCCAGCAACGGCTAAGCCCAGAGGAGGAGGAGGAGGAGGAGGAGGAGGAGGAGGATTGCAATCTCTAAAACAACTGAAAGGAACTAAATTGGTGAAGATGAAGGTAGAGACCATATGGCTCCAGTAGATGTGGCTGTGTTTATTTAAATAAGAAAATACTGGGATTTATGCTAGGATGAATGTTCATTGATTTGGAACAAAACCATAAACTTTGTTTAGTCTCTTTGCTTTATAAGATATATTTTCAGTTCCTCTGTGTAAGTGTAATTGCAACTAAGTGGAATGTTTTGTTAGAACCAAATGCATAAACAAAACTCCCTCCTTTATTCTTCTCAGCTGTATCTGTGAGCTGTGGCATGTATCTGTTTATTAACCAAGTCATTTGTAGCCAAGGTTATTATAGCTATTATAAAGTATTTATACCGAGTATAAAGAAAGACAAAGCAACTGACCTTGAAGGAGTTGCAGGAGGAGCCCGAATTCCTCTTCCTCTAATACTTCGCCCACGAGGTGAGTCCTCTGAACCATTTAAATATGACAATTCCCTCAATTGCTCTTGACGGATTTCATCATTATAGTCCTGGGAAGAAGGAAGCAATAGAACATCTGTCATCTTTACTGCTGAAGGTCCATTCCTCCTCCCAGATTAGATAATTTTAAGTTTAAGATAATTTTCAGAAAACTTAAATGACTTCATTGCTTGGGATCGTGGTTTTTTTTTTTTTTTAAAGAAAGCAAATAATGTTTAACTCACATTATGCAGATAAGCAAAATGTATTCTGCAAAGATGGTTTATTGCCACCAAACTAAGCAATGGATGGTCACAGAGCTATGCAGACGTAGACTTAACAGAATCAGCCCTAAGTTAGTTAGATTGAAGATTTTAGAGTTTTTCAAGAGTCAAGATTCTATTTGAAACAAAGTAAGCAGTGCATACAGAGAATGGCTTGTTTCCATCTCCTTAATAGCAAGTCTTCTTTGGGTCATGTGACCAGGAAGGGGAGGTGCTTAAGAATGGAACAATTGGCAATATTTTGAGCCACTGTCCAATTGCCTTACTGGGATGTAATGAGAATTAAAAAAAAAAAATCTACACTATCTGGCCAGATGCAGCCCATTTGTGAATTTATTTTTTTCTTCAATGGTTTGTTTTACCGCACCAAACTGAGTGCCTTCAGTTCTGTTTGTGGGGAGCTATGTTGCTAATGAACCGACAGAATTCCAAATTCCCTTAAAAATTATTTTTAAAGTTCCACTCGATTAGAAAGAATGAAAAGAATCGTTCATGCTCTATAATAGGAAAACAACCAAATGCCTACCTCTGATTCATTGTTTAGCTGAATGGAAAAAAGCAGAAATGCACCACAGCTTTGTAATGCAAGCATTACCCTTTGATGTATTTCCATGTGATGTCAATGCAAGTATGAAAGGACAGAACTTGCATGGTGACATCATGATGCATATGTTGTCATTTTTGTGTCATTGTGTCTAGCTGTATTTAGGGTGCCAAGTGGGTGGGCATGTGTAACTGTTATCTACCTTAGATCCTTTACAGAAAACCTCCCCTCATCAGTAGCTTAATTTAGTTGCCCTGGTTGGGCAAAGTAGATTTGCAAAGTTAGACTTCTGGAAAGAAGTTAGAAGAACTCCATTGACCAGCTCTTCAATGAAGTTGCAGCTTTGCTGCCTGTGACCACTGGAGTTTTCCAGAATGGTGGGCAAACTTGATCTCTCCTGGACAGGAGCCCCTCTTAAATGGCAGAATGGAGTTGTATCTGGGTTGTGACTTGATGGCAATCCTTGATGTTAGAGAGCATCGGTGTGATGCCATGCCCCAGAGATAACCAGACTACAGAGAATGAATCTGGCATGGCACAAGTGGAACTTGTAGCTTTACCAACACGCCCACCCCATCTGTTTGTTACTGTAAAATTGATTTACAATTATTTGCATGCCACCTACTAGACCGACTGTAGACAGCATACAAAATCAATTAAAAGTACAGATGCCGTAAAATGTAGTATTAAACATCCTTACTTTTAAAGGAAAGCAAGCACGTTGACCAGTGCTTGCACTATTAGCCTGAAATTCATTTGTTCAGAGACTTAAACGTGCCTCAATTGTGCAGAATTTAGAGCTGTTTTGCTGTAATCTGCACTATATAAAGCTCACAACTTTGACTCATCTCCTATTATGATGAAGTTCTCATGACACAGATTCCGTGCATCTTCGAGATTTTAAAATGGCATTGTTAATTGTAAAACATTAGAAATCTAAGTGACATGCAATGCAACCTATCAAATAAATCTCAGTGCACACTTAATACTTCTTCACAATCGTGAAGCAGAATATTGACTGTTTCTTCTGATAAAATAATTCAATTTGGTATCCATCAAGAAAGTGTGTAGCAGTTCTGTAATATGCAAGCATCCCTCTATTGATTCTACAGTCTTATTGGAAAGATTAATGCATTTCTTGGCTTCATTTAGGTGCTGAAACAATACACTTATTTATATTAGCCTTCTGTGCTGAAAATCATAAAAAACATGTTAAATGACACGTCTTGTTTCTGTCCAAATGATACAAATAATTATGTACAAAGCAAAAGGTAGTTTTCAGAGCAGCACTTTTTGATTGCAGCTTTGAAAATCATAATAATCATTCATTTGCTGCTGCTGAGGTTTACTAGGAGAAATTGGCGTATTCGGTAATAAACCTAGTTAAACAAATAGAGGAAAAATATGTATCATTCTGATTGCCATTCAAAATAATTATAAAAAAGACAGGTGTACTAAATGATGAGCTCCAAGATATTCTATTAAAAAGACACCCGAATTAGTTTTTTTTTAGTTGATAGCATTTGCATATTCAGATGGAATTCTTCCTTTGGGCTGTAACTTCCCATTATTATTGTTTCTCAGAATTAGAAAGAATCTCATTCTTTGGATTTATTTTCTCTGATGATGCCCCAGTAATGATGGCAATGATGTTCCTAAGTCAATATATTTTATTGTTAGGTTTTATATTTATATCTTGTGTTTGTTGTTAGATTATTATGTTTATGTTGCACACTGCTGAGTCATACCGTCTGAGTTGCATGGGACCCCGGGACACGACAACCATAGCTTTTAAATAAATAAATAAATAAATATCAGAATTTTAATTGCATAGAACTGTTAGATGCCTCCTAAGAACCAAGCTGCACAAAAAATGTCTTCATGTGCTACTTTCCTATTGCCAAATACTCTGTTTTTCCACTTTGTGATATAAAGCATCTGATATAAGAATAATAGTATCCCATTCCTGGAATTGCGAAGCAATCAATTCATAGGTTTATCTTATTTCAGAAAGATGATTCATTGATAAATGGATGCATAGTCTGCATTTGGCTATGAAACTTCATCAAAAGTGAAGGGGAAAAAATTAGATAGAGGGAACACCCAGGGCCATATATTCAGGCTGTCTTTGACCACAACTGGGGCCAGAATTTCTGTTGCTAAGTGAGTCATACCCAATTTTACAACTTCTTTTGCTATGGCTGTTAAGCAAATCACTGCAGTTGTTAAATGAAACATGCAACTGTTAAGTGAATCCAGCTTCCCACATTGACTTTGCTTGTTGGAAGATGGCTGGGAAGGTCTCAAATGGCAATCACATGATCCCAGGATTCTGTAACCATTATAAGTATCTGCCAGTTGCCAAGCTCCTGAAATTCAGTCACCTAACCTTGTGGATGCTATGACAGCTGTAAGTATGAGAACTGGTTGTAAGTCACTCTTCTCAGTGCTGTTGTAACTTTGAACGGTCACTAAATGAATGGTTGTAAGTCAAGGACTACATGTAGTATTTTAGAGATCTAGAACCAGTCCCTCTGGTCCTGATCCAAACCTGAGTTTCAATCACTGGTCCTTGGGGATACAAGAAATAAAATCCCTCAGTCTCTGAGGTAGAAAGCCAAAAGCAGAGAGATAACAACAACAACAACTCTATTGTCACTTTGAATGTATACCAATCGTCATACATCAAAATGAAATTTCATCGCATGCAGCTCTCAAAGGGCCACCACCTCTGATATACACTCCTTGTTCGTGGCCAGCTCCAGTTTCAGAACGTCCATTTTAGTCTCTAGGGCAGACATGTCCGGGGGCCGGATGCGGCCCGCGACGTGGTTTCATGTGGCCTGCAAAGCCATCCTGGAAACAGTGAGGGAATGGCCCCCACTGCCTTGGCCCAGGCCCAGGCCACCCGGGAGCCAATGTACAATTTTGTAGTGGCCAATTATGCTGAAATGCATTCAGTCTTAGCTCCACAAGGCCATCTGGAAACAGCAAGGGACTGGCCCCTGCCGCATTGGCCCCTCCCCCTGGGCGCACACTGGAGAGGTGTCACCCTTTGTGAGGAATGAAGAAATGCATCATCGCCTGGAAATGGCCAGTAAATGGCCCTTGCCTACTTCACATATCTGGCTTGATGGGCTCCAGGGGAGGGGTTTCAGCAGGCAGTGGGGCACTGTCCTCACAGCACCGAGAGGCTGAGCCAGGCGGCGCGAATCCAGAAAGAAGCACAACACCACTCAGCCCCCAGCCTGCCCAATTTCAGCAAGCAGCAAGGTGCAAAACTGGCGAGCTTCGCACTGCCTGGCTCAGCCTCCCAGTGCTGTGAGGAGAGTGCCCCGCTGCCTGCCGAAACCAGGCAGGCTGGGGGCTGGATGGCATTGTGCAGGTAATGTCGACTCTCACGTTGCTCATGGTGTCCACTCCCGCAAAGCCCACCAAGCCAGATATGTAAAGTAGGTGAGGACCATGTGCTGGCCACTTCCAGGCGATGGTGCATTTCTTCATTCCTCATGAAGGGTGACACTTCCCCAGCTGCGTTTCTTGCCTGTTTTTCTCCCTCCCTCATCTCAAATATTTTCCCACCACTCTGTTCTTGAAGGAAGGAGAGGAACAGTGAGGCTCTTCCAGTGGACCATGCCTTGACGCTTGCCCCGGTCCCACCCCCTTCTGTCAGAGACCCTCAGATCTGTCCCACTCCTGCCCAGGCCCCCACAGACACCCTTGACGTGAACAATGGCCATGCCCACCCAGTAGGCCACACCCACTCCAGCCACGCCCACCCAGTAGACCATGCCCACCCTGGCCACACCTACCTGGCCCCCAGAGACAACCACAATGCTGATGCGGCCCTCAATGAAATTGAGTTTGACACCCCTGCTCTAGGGAGAGACCGATGGCAAAAAGGACAGATGGAAACGGAGCTCCATGTGGATTAGCCCTCAGATCAGCTTGTATTCCTGCACAACAACCTCACCTCCTTTTCTTTCTCTGATCCTGTCTCTTCCACCTTTTCCTTAAAGGGGCCTTGCTCCTTTTCGCCCCTAAAGCACGCTGCCGCAGCCTCCAATTCTTCCAAAACCCTCTCTCCCTTCCTCTGGGCCTACTGACAGCCTCCTCCAGTTCCTTTGCTCCATAAGCCCTGGGACCTTTCCTCCTCTGCCTCCACCAGAAACAGCCCTGATTTGCAATAGAATCCGTCGCTGTACCAGCAGTCAGATCTTGCTGCCGGTCTATTCAAGGGGAG